CTCACAGAGGAGGGGGTGAGGGTTGGGGGAGAGGGGTGCACGTGCCCAAGGACAGAGCTATCAGCTACACCCCGACTACGACGACGACGATGCGGTCTCCGTGTGTGAGACAATGGAGAGGGCGCAGCTGGGAGGTGGTCGGTGGTCCCAGGCCTGCGTCCTCGCTGGGCGGGGAAAGCGCCGTGGTCTCCGCTGAGATCAGGGGAAAGTGGGGACGGGCACTGAGAAATGGGCAAAGGACCAAACGGACACTTCTCCAAAGAGGACGGACAGAAGGCCAGAGGCGTGTGAAAGACGCTCAAAGTCCCTGATGCTCAGAGAGATGCAAGTGGAAACGACAATGAGGTGTCCCCTCACCTGTCAGAACGGCCGCCATCAACAGGTCAGCACCCGACAAGCGCTGGCGAGGGTGGGAGGAAAGGGACCGGTGCCCTGCTGCTGGGCGTGCAGGCGGCGGCCGCTGTGGAGAACAGGATGGCGTTTCCCCAAAAAGTTAAATATGCAGCTGCCATTGGCCCAGCAACCCCACTTCCAGGAATACATCCCAAGAAACCAGAAACACCAACCAGAAAGAACGTGTGCGCCCCCGCGTTCACTGCTGCACAGTTTACAACAGCGACGACCTGGGAACGGCCCAGGGCCCATCAGCAGCCGAGCAGAAGTCCGGTGAGGTCGCCGACGCAGTCCATGCTCCCGGCGCCAGGAGCGGCCACGGGGCAGGAGCGTCACTAAATTACCAATATACAAACTGAGCTGTAAGAGTTTAAGTAACTTGCTCAAGTTTACACAACCACTAATTAGGGGGTTTAGGATTTGTCTGGTCTCTGTGGGCCCCGCCGCTGCCCCAGGAGCGCAGGCACCGCAGCCCCGAGCGACTGCCCAGGGCCCAGGGCCGCCGGCGTCCGGCCTCCCGGACTCCAGAGCCCGCAGCAGCGCTGGGTGGTGTACGCCCTGAGGGTGAGGGCACTGAGGCACCGCGTGGGGAGACGCCTGCACACCTGCCCGCCTGGCTGTGGCTGGGAACAGCCCCTGCCCGGC